TTTTTAATGCATACTGTTCCATTGTACAGACACATCACAGTTTGTTTATCAGTTCAACTCTTGATAGACATTGGGATTCTTTCAATTTGGGACTATTTTAAATAAAGCAGCTATGAATATTCATATATAGACAAGTCTTTATGTGGAAATATGTTTTCATTCAGGGGTATAAATACCTAGGAGTGGAATTGCTGGGTCATGTAGTAAGTATATGTTTCACTTTATAAGAAACTGTCAACCAGTTTCTCTGAAGTGGTTGTACCATTAAAAATAACTGCCAGCGCCTTGGCCAGTTTGGCTCAGCGGTTAGAGCGTCGGCCTGCGGTCCAGAGAGACCTGGGTTCGGTTCCTGCCAGGGGCATGTACCTCGGTTGCAGTTTGTCCCTGGCCCTGGTTGGGTTGTGTGGGTGGCAACCACTCAATGTGTCCCTTTCATGTCAATGTTTCTCTCTTTTCCCCTCTCTCCCTCCCACTCTATCTGAACAAGAAACGAAAAAGTGTCCTCGGATAAGTATTAAAATAAAATTCCTGCCCTGGCTGGTTTGGCTCAGCGGTTAGAGCGTCAGCCTGTGGTCCAGAGAGACCTGGGTTCGGTTCCCACTAAGGGCACGTACCTCGGTTGCAGTTTGTTTCCGGCCCTGGTTGGTTGTGTGGGTGGTGACCAATCGATGTGTCCCTTTCACATCGATGTTTCTCTCTCTCTCTTCCTCTCTCTCCCTCCCACACTATCTGAACAAAAAATGGAAAAATGTCCTTGGGTGAGGATTAAAAAACAAAAAATTACTGCCAGCAATGTATAAAAGACACAATTCCTCCTCATTCTTGCCAATAATTTGTATTTTTCTAGACACTAATGATGTTCATGTGCTTATTGGTCATCCATGGATCTTTTTGGGTGAAGAGTCTCTCCAAATCTTTTACCCATTTAAAGAAAAAGGGTTGTTTTCTTATTGAGTTCTGAGAGTTTCTTATATATTTTAGATATAAGTACCTGGTCAAATACATATATTGCAAATATTTTCTCCCAGTCTGTGATTTGTATTTTTATTTTATTTTTTTAATCTTCGCCCGAGGCTATTTTTCCATTTATCTTCAGATAGAATGGGAGGGAGGGAGTGGAGAGACTGAGAGAGAGAAAGATAGAGAGACATCAATGTGAGAGACACACCGACTGGTTGCCTCCCACACGACCCTGACCAGGGCCATGGCCGAACTGAAACCAAGGTACGTGCCTTTGACCGGAATCGAACCTGAGACTCTTTGGTTTCCAGGCCGACGCTCTAACCTCAGAGCCAAACCAGTCAAGGCTGAATTTTTATTTTCTTAACTGTTTCTTTTGGAGACCAGAAGTTTATATTTTTTCTACATACTAACATTTCTATGAAATGTTGGCCTATCCCAATAGCAACAAGATTTTCTCCTATATTTTTTCTAGAAGTTCTATATATAAATCCAGAATCCACATAAGTTAATTTTTGTATATGGTCTAAAGTAAATAACAAGTTGTTTTTTCTAAACGGATATCCAATTGTTTCAACATCATTTGTTGAAAAGACTATCCTTTCCCTATTGAATTATCTTAGTACCTTTCTCAAAAATCAACTGGCCATGTATGAGTCTATCTATGGACTCTCCATTCTATTCCATTGATCTGCGTGTTTGTCTTTACACCAAACCACACTATCTTGATTACTATTGCTTTCTTGTAAGTCTTGAAATTCAGTAGTATTGTCCTTCATCTTTGTTTTATTTTTCAGGATTGTTTTGGCTAAAGTTTAGGTTCTTTGCATTTCCATACAAATTTTTCCTTTTTTTTTTTGGTATGTGCCCCTAGCGGGAACCAAACCCAGGACTCTCTGGTCTCGAGGCTGACGCTCCAACCACTGAGCCAAACCAGCCAGGGCTCCTTACAAATTTTTAAATTAGCTTGTCAGTTTGCCTGCTGGGATTTTGATTGATATTGCATTGATTCTATAGAACAGTTAGAAAGTAAACATCTTAACAACATTGAGTCCAGTTTGTGAGTATATCTCTCCATTTATTTAAGTCTTTTTAAATTTCCCTTAGCAATGTTTATTGTTTCAGTTTACAGGTATTACACATATTGTGTTAAATTTATTGCAAATATCACATTTGGGTTTTTTTTGATGCTACTATAAATTGTGATGGGAGATAGTTTTTAAAAATATAGTGGTTATCCTTGGGGGAGGGGTGGTTAGTGACATGAAAGAAAAGGAGCACAGCCTGGCCGGTATGGCTCAGTCGTTGACCCATGCACCAAGAGGTTACCGGTTTGATTCCAGGTCAGGGCACATGCCCAGGTCATGGGCCCAGTCCCCAGTGGGGAGCACGTAAGAGGTGGCCAATGATGTTCTTTCTCATCGGTGTTTATATCTCTCTCTCCCTCTCCCTTTCTCTCTCTCTAAAATCAATAAATAAAAAAGAAAGAGCACAGGGCAGAGCTTATGAGGCTTATGATAATTTATTTCTTGATCTGGGTGCTGGCTACATGGATATGTTCACCTTGTGAAAATTTATCAAGCTTTACACTTAAAATGATGCACTTTTATTTATAGTATACCTCAATGAAAATTAAAATAGAAAAAATGTCACACAGTAAGAAAGAAGGATATATTTTTTAAAAGAGAGGGATAATCCAGTTTCAACAGTATTATAAGTATCATCAAGAATGTTGATTTATTGGTCACCCAATACGTTTGCTCTCAAAATTCCCATTTGTTAGACCATTCTACCCCCATGTAATAAAATGTCTAGTTCCCTCTTTCCTTTATGTTTCAGTTCAAATGTCATCTCTTTTTAATGTTTTATTGATTTTAGAGAGAGAGGAAGGGAGAGGAAGAGAGAGATAGAAACATCAATGAGAGAACATCAATTGGCTGCCTCCTGCATGCCCCCTACTGGGAATTGGGCCTGCAACCTGGGCATGTGCCCTGTCCAGGAATCAAATCTGTGACCTCTTGGTGGTGCATGGGTCGACGCTCAACCAGTGAGCCACACTGGCTGGGCCAAATGTCATCTCTTTAGGAAAGCTATCTCTAACCCCCTTAGACTTAAATAACTATATTAGGGTTTTTTTTGTTTTGTTTTGTTTTTTACTTGTTGCATAACAAATTACTACAAACTTAGCAAGTTAAAACAACATCCATCCATTAGCTCACAATTCTCTAGGTCAGAAGTCTGGCACAGCATGGCTGGATCCTTTGCTCAGAGTATCACAAGGCTGAAATCAAGGGTTAGCCATGCTGAGTTCTCATCCGGAGGCTCTTGGGGGAAATTCTCTTCTCAGTTCATTGTCTTTGGCAGAATTCAGTTCCTTGCCTTTGTAGGATTGAGATCCCCAGTTCCTTACTGGCTTTCGGCTCTTAGAGGATGACTACATACCTTGTCACATGGTCTTCTTCCTCTTCTGCAACCAATTGGTGAAAACTCTGCTTTTACAAGGGTTATTCGAGTAGGTCAGAACCACCAGAGTGATCTCCCAACCTTGAGGTCAACTAATTCAGAACCTTAATTAAACCACAGCAGTACCTACATGTTTGTTTGAAAAACTGAAAGAAGATGTGTGTACACCAGAAGCCGAGACTCTTAGGACCATCATACAATTTTGCCTATCCCCTTATCCTGCTGTATTTTTCTTCATAGCACTATAGACATTATATTTTCTATTTATTTGGTTATGTTTTTAACTTGCTGAACACACTAGAATATAAGTTGCCCCAATGACAGAGAGTGGTATTTTTCAGTGTTGTATTCCTAGCACCTAGAACAGTGTTTGGCACGTTGTAAATGCTTAATTAATATTTATTGACTGAACCAATTAGTAAAAAAAAGTCTTTATGGCATATAATTTTGATGACATTGGAGATGGGATTTTCTTGGAGAAAAGAAAATAGGTAGATGAAGCATATAAATGTTATTTAAGCTTTAGTTCCAAAGGTACCAGAGTCTCACATTATTCATTGTCCTTTCTTTGTATGGAGGATTTCTTATTTGACTATTAAAAAATAAATTGTCAGTAATTGTATAAATGTCTAGTAACTAATGTATACAAGAAAAAGCAAATTATGAATGAATGTATTTTAAGACTGAGAGAAGGTTTTATACAAGCCTTAAAAAAGAACAGGAAAAATCAGAATGAAAATAAGGTGCTAACCCAGCTTACATCCCCATCACAAATGAAGACAGAGCTTGCTCACAGTTCTTTTCATCTGTCTTCCATCCTAAGGCACCTCAGTTTAGAGCTGTGTGCCACTTCTTCTCTAACTACAAAGCCATTTCCTGCATTTTCTACTTATTCTTGTCCAAGAAGCTTTGCTATTTAGCCATTTTCTACCGAATAAAGTCCAAATTTTTTTGCCTGGCAAAAGAAAAGGATTATTAGCTTTTTTGCTTGTTAGTAATAATAACTTACCATGCGCCCTGGCCAGTTTGGCTCAGCGGTTAGAGCGTCAGCCTGCGGTCCGGAGAGACCCGGGTTCGGTTCCCGCTAAGGGCACGTACTTCGGTTGCAGTTTGTCCCCGGCCCTGGTTGGTCGTGCGGGTGGCAGCCACTCGATGTGTCCCTTCACGTCGATGTTTCTCTCTCTCTCTCCCTTCCTCTGTCTCCCTCCCACTCAGTCTGTACAAAAAATGGAAAAATATCCTCGGGTGAGGATAAAAAAATAATAATAATAATAAAAATAACTTACCATGCTTTCAGCTTTTGGATTTCATCTGTATATCCCCAAATAATGTCTTCCTGTGAACTTTTGGAAATGGATGCTTAGTTGTCCATCAATATTCCCAATTTACCAACTTACTGTGGTATTTCTGTCTTTCCTTGTAAATGCTGTTTACAAACGTTCAGTTACTAGTAAAGTAACAGAGTGGGCTCCATCATGTAGACATAACGTAGCATGCAAGGCCAGCAAATTACATATTTCCCTCATTTTCAATACTTATTGTTATGTGGTTTTTTTTTTAATCCACCCCTTCTACAGACAAAACTTGCCAATGGCACTTCCAGTATGATTGTGCCCAAGCAACGGAAACTCTCGGCAAGCTATGAGAAGGAAAAGGAACTGTGTGTCAAATATTTTGAGCAGTGGTCAGAGTCCGATCAAGTGGAATTTGTGGAACATCTTATATCCCAAATGTGTCATTACCAACATGGGCACATAAACTCGTATCTTAAACCTATGCTGCAGAGGGATTTCATAACTGCTCTGCCAGGTATGTCTGCGGGTGTTTTTGAGCCATTAATTTGCCTGGAAGATATGTTACAATGGTAGTGGTACTGAATCTTCAGCTATACATCTCTCTTTCTAAACGTCTTTATTGGCTTAAGTTTTACAAACTGAGTCCTTTAATCGTACCTTCTTGGGGTATAAATACAAAAAAATCACACTCTGGGAATAGAAACTCCTCTTTTCTCTATCTTCTCCCTATCTCATGCTCTTCTCTTCACCCTGTTTACCCACACAACAGTCCAAGTAACATCTTTTCTGAGGTGTTATCTGGTTTGAGATATGTCTTAGTTTCAATATATGTTAACTTATATACTTGGCTTTGAATTTCTAAGAGGGTTTATCAACATAATATTTAAATTGTAAGAATGAATAAGAAACATTTTTGAGTATTTTAGAAAGAAGGGTATCTCAGGAGCCTTGTAGTGACATTACTTTACAACTTTACAGTCTCGCTATCACAGTAATCAAATAGCTATTATAATAGATATATAATGGTTTTTAAATACATATACTTAATATATATACACACAAACACACTTAAGTATCCATACACACACACACATATACAAAGTTAAAACCCTTTCTTTGGAGGGTGCTGTGTTTGTTTTACTGAATGCTTGATGGTGTGATCTAGGACATGACATAGGTATCAGTATTTGGGGGAAATCCTATCTCGGGAAAATATAAGATTCTCACCTGTGTGAAAAGCTTTTTCTAAAAGAAAAAATAGTACAAAGATGAGTGAATCTCCAAAATAGCATATCTTAGTTTTTTTTTCAGTTTCCTGATTATACAGGTTATGTTTAGGAAATTTAGCAAATTCACAAAAGTTTAAAAATTTAAAAATATAATTTCCCAGAACCCCACTATTCAGAGAAAACTACTAATGTGCTATTAACATTATGGCATGTAGCCTTCCTGTTTTTTCTAGGTGTGGGTATATATTTCCTTTGAAAGCTGGGTGTAACTTTAAAAAAAAAATTTTCTTTATTGATTTTAGAAAGTGAGAAAGGGCGAGGGAGACAGAGAGAGAGAAACATCGATTGGCTACCTTCGGCATGCCCCCCACTGGGGATTGGGCCCACAACCTGGGCATGTGCCCTGACTGGGAATCGAACCGGCAACCTCTTGGTGATTGGGTCGATGCTCAACCAACTGAGCCACACCAGCCCTGCTATAACAGTTTTTTCTTATTATGTTCTCTTAATGTATTTTTCTAAGTATTTGTTTTTTAAAAACATATTTTTATAGGATTCTATATTCTTTGTGATGGCTGAAGCACCTATTATTTAATCTTTTTATTGAGCATTTAGGTATTTTTAAATGTTTTTCCTATTCTGTGATGGACATTCTTATTCATTTATCTTTTGGGCATCCTAGGAGAAAATACCAGATGTGGGATTTCTATGTTAAAGAATTATGAACATGTTAAGGCTTTTATTACGTATACCAAACTATCCTCTAAGAAACATATACTAACTTATACACTCCCCAAAACGGCTTGTTACCACTTGCTTAATCTTTGCCAATTATAGCTTAAAATTTTTTTTTCCAAAATTGCATTTTAAATTGCCCTTTAAAACAAAAGAAATGCCTCTTTATAACTTAGAAATAACCATTTTAAAGCTGAATTTGTGCCTGTATCTTTTGTTAAATAGAATAGATTTTTGGCCCATCTTCACTCATTGGATTTTGTTTTAGCCACGGGCAAACAGTTTTCTTTGTGTGAACAACCTATGTGTACCTAATTACTGTGCTCTCCCCATTCACTGAGGCATGTTACTATCTCAAGCATATACCACTAAGAATTGAATAGGAGTTGATTAGACTGGAGTGTCCCTTTGCCTAATACTGATCCCTGGTGTGTATCTGCTGAGCATTTTATAAGATATTAAATCATCAGTCTAGTGCTCTACAGCCATTTTAACTTGTAAACCTACACCATCTGGCTACATTTAGTAAACCAAACTACTTCAAAAAATGCCTGTAATCCATTAATGTAATGAGTTTGTTTGGAGTGTTAGATGAAATTACTTCCAAAGACTTATGATATGGACATTGTGAAAGATCAGGAGCAATTTGATGGCAGCCATTAAAAGCACAGGAATGGATTTTGGAAACTTCTGATGGTATAGAAAGTTTCAGTATAAAGATGCAGAAATTGGTCTGACCAGTTTAGCTCATTGGTTAGAGCATCGGCCCACGGACCAAGAAGTCGAGGGTTTGATTCCAGCCAAAGGCACATACCTCGATTGCAGTTCATCCTGAACCCTAGTCAGGGTCATGTGGAAGGCAACCAATTTATGTGTCTCACACATCAATGTTTCTCTCTCTCTTTCCTTCCTTCCCTCCCACTCTATCCGAAGATAAATGAAAAATATCCTTGGATAAGGATTTCAGAGGGAAAAAAGATGCAGAAATTGTACCATCACTGTATTTTGCATGAAAAGCTAATTATTGTTTTTAATTGGCTTATGATCATGTTCCTTTAATAAGAATGAGGTTATGGATGCCTCCATCTGCTTATGCTTAAATATGAACATGATTGCCCTGGCCAGGTGACTCAGTTGTTTGGAGTGTCACCCCATACACCAAAAGGTTGCAGGTTCAATTCCTGGTCAGAGCACATAACCCATGTTGCAGATTTGATACCCGGTCTGGGTGCATACGGGAGGTAATTGATGTTTCTCTCTCACATCGATGTTTCTCTCTCTCCCTCCCTCCCTTTGTCTCTAAAATCAATAAACATATCATCAGGTGAGGATTAAAATTAAAATATATATATGAGTCCTGGCCAGTTTGGCTCAGCGGTTAGAGCGTCGGCCCGCAGTCCAGAGAGACCTGGGTTCGGTTCCCGCTAAGGGCATGTACCTCGATTGCAGTTTGTCCCCGGCCCCAGTTGGGGTTGTGCAGGAGGCAGCCACTCTGCATGTCCCTTTCACGTTGATGTTTCTCTCTCTTCCTCTCCTCCTCTCTTCCTTTCTCTCCCTCCCACTCTATCTAAACAAAAATAGAAAAATGTCCTCGGTGAGGATAAAAATACACACACGAACATGATGCCAACCAAATAAAATTCACTTAATGCTTTTTTTTCTAAATCTACTGAAAAATGTGACGATATCCATACAATCTTTATAATTAGAAAAATGTTTAAACACATTTTGATTGTTGCTAATGGCGTCCAAGTGTGTCTGTATAATTCAGGGGAAGGGCACAAAATAAAATGTGGTATACTTTTCTCTTTGTTAAGTTTGTACCTAAGGTAGTCAAAGTTTGAAGGAATCCTTCTGCTTTATTTATGTCTTTAGGAAACATTTGATATGTAACTTGTAAAGAGAATAACTTTGAATGTTTTTGTTTCACTTGTGAATTAGAACAACAGCCAAAAGTTTATTAGTGTGATCATCCTATTTTATAGGATCTATTCCTCTGAGACCTCAGTACAAACTCCAGTGGTAGAGAATTTTAATTGGGAAGCCCATCTAGTTTCACAGCCCAAGATCTACTTCCACTGTTTTTCTCTGTACCTCCTACAAAACAGTCTCTGAAATTCTAACCAAGTTATCTATTGGTCTGGGATTTTTTTCATTTTTGGTCAACTGTCATTTAGGTTTTATAGCAGCAACTATTCTCAAATATAGTTTTTTTAAAACATCTGAAATTAAACTCATCCTTGAACTTAAACATTCCTCTCTGTCTTTTCTCTCGGGATGTTCCTATACCAATCTGTATTTCCTTCTTTCCTTTCTGCATGCCCAAAATTCTATAACCCAGCACATTCTGACTTAGTGCCTCTCTTCCAGTACATTTAAAGGATATTTCTTTTACTGAACAGCTTTGGAACTGCAGCAGTAATAGAAACAGAATGAGAAATGGACCTAATATAGAGATTTGGGGGGGCCTGAATCACAGAGTTTGAGTTTGAGATGCCATCCATAGAATATCCCCTAGTGCTGAAATCCATACAGATAGATGTGAATTGTTTTCTGGAATCCTTTTTATTTTTAATGTCTTGGGGGTTTGCTGGATGTTAGCTTTAACTTCCTTATCTAAAGGAAGATAGAAAATAGCGTTCATTTCTGTAACCTTATGGAAAAATTATTGACACTCATTTGACCTAAGTCTCTGCTTGAAAAAGAAACTGGACCACACTTGGGACAGAGATGTGCCTTCATTGCAGAATAAACTCTGTTCTGTTTCAAAGACCTATTGCAACAAATCATTCACAACCTATGTTCTTCTTCTTTGCCACCTCCCCCCACCAAAAGCTCGGGGTTTGGATCACATTGCTGAGAATATTCTGTCATATCTGGATGCCAAATCACTGTGTGCTGCTGAACTTGTGTGCAAGGAATGGTACCGAGTGACTTCTGATGGCATGTTATGGAAAAAGCTCATCGAGAGAATGGTCAGGACAGATTCTCTGTGGAGAGGCCTGGCAGAACGAAGAGGATGGTGAGCCTTTTAACTTTCTTACTATTACAGAGCTTCAGGGCCTGGCCATTCAGTCACTGGAATGTTGTTGGGAACCAGTGAGACTGCTTCTTATTTAATACAGTGATATTGCTGGTTTAGAGCAAAAAATGTAAAATAGTTGTTCATGTACTCAGCAGTTTTTCTTCTGACCAATCACACATAAATGATATAATAATGTGTTAATACTGCTTTGCAAAAACTAACAAAAAACTGACCAGCCCTCCCGTTTAAAGCATTCTGTTCTCTAGGCAGAAACAGTATCCTGAAAAAGGGCTGAGGTGCAATTTGTAAGGTAAGTAGATGACTTAGAATCACTTAGAAGCCATCAGATGATCCAGCTTTCCCCTAAAACAGTCCAGAAAAAATAATTATTTTCTTCTTCAGAAGATTCCTTGCCTTTAGTCCATGCCTGTGGTGTTTTATCACCTTTGTAATCAAAATTATTTTTATGCCCAACTACAAGAAGAACCTTAGCCATCAGAAAAGTGAAAAATGAAATTTGGTATAAATAATTGTTTCTTCATAAGACTTCTATTTTATTGCTTAATCTTGAATTTCTTAAGGCATTATGTAGTTAGCAGCCTGAGACTTCACCAATTTTGTTTTCTTAACATAATGGTACCATTTTATTAGAACTTCTGGAAGGTGTCTTCCAAATATAATTTGCTCTTAGAGGATATCTCTAGAATGTCACTCTAAGAAAGTCAGGTGTGAATATTTCCATAAAATAAAGGTGACATTAAATATTTTAGTTGATAGATATGCTCAGCATTATCCTGAGCAATTAATTTTATCAGTTGTTTATCTTGGATCATAAAGAGATACAAAACAGTGAAGAATTAAGGATCAGCTTTTCTTAGCAATTTTCTTAAAAATATAGTTGGCTCCCTTTCTTTTTCTAATCTCTAAAAATAATTAATATATAATAAACAAAAATGCCTTGTAAATATACCAAGTGCTGCAAGAGATTTCTATCATTCTGGCTATTAGGAAGACTTTAATATTTCTCTCAAATTCAATTAAAGGAAGCAAATGCCAGGCAATTCTTTAGCTATATAAAAATTGCATAAATGGCCCTGGATGGTTTGGCTCAGCGGTTGGAGCATTGGCCTGCGGAGCAGAGTCCCGGGTTTGGTTCCCGCTAGCGACACGTACCCAAAAAAATTAAAAAAAAAAATTGCATAAATGAAAGAATATTGTTATTTTCTTCTCCAAATATATATTTTATCCTCATTTATTTCACTATACAGAAAAATAGAAACCTTATCTTTAATAACATTTCATACTTTGGAAATAAACTCTATAGTATAAAAAAAGCAAAATAGTATGTAGTTGTATGGTATTCAAAGTCTATCATTTTGTCAAGTGTGCCAAGACCAGCTTTACAGCCTGAGAAGTAGAGCAGACAGTTGCTTAATGGGAAAATTTTAGGGCAGCTAGGACTATTCCTCTACCCTTTAAGGGAGGGAAGGGAGAAACTCTCCTCCAAATCACTCCTGACCTGAAATTTCCATTATAGAGATTCATTCCCATAGCTGTAAAGGTTTTGTTCCCTATTAAAATATATTTTGTTCCTATTTGGACTATAAAGGACAGTGAAACTTTATCAGACAGTGGGAGTTTACAAAGTCTTTTTTTGAGATAGGGAAAACAAGAAGTATATGGGCAGACTGGGGCAGATGCATGTGAAAATGCCAAAGATAAGCAGACTTCACAATTTTGCTTAGAGTTGGCACTAAACAGCAAGATTTTTTATGTTAGTTATAAAGAGAAAAAAATAAGGTCATTGAAGGAGATGGCTTTTGGCCTTTTAAAAGGGAGTATTGGAAGGTATAGCTGAGAAATAATCCAGGATCCAGCTCTAATTATCACTCTTTCTCTTCTCTCTTCAACCACAGGAACTCATTTCTGCTCTTTTGAGTATCCTTTAGAGTTCTGACTATATTCCTTTGTCTTTGGCCACATTTATCATCTTATTTTAATGTAGCTCCATGAAGTGACTAATATTTGTACACCCCATGAAAACCTCTTCCAGTATCCCCTTGACTTTCTATGGCTGCTTCTATTCTTATATGTTGCCTTTCTTCCTGTGTTAGTGTCCTCTCTCCCACTTAAAAAAAAAAATTAGTCTATGATCAGTTATTCATTTTATCCTTTTTTAAAATAACTTTTTAGTTTGATATAGTCCCATTTGTTTATTTTTCCTTTTATTTATTTTTTTATGTTTTTATTGATTTTTACAGAGAGAAGAAGGGAGAGTGAGAGAGAGATAAAAACATCGATGAGAGAGGCACATCCATTGGCTGCCTGCTGCACACCCCCAATGGGGATTGAGCCCGAAACCCAGGCATGTGCCCTGACCGGGAATCGAACTGGTGATCTCTTGGTCCAGTGGTCAATGCTCAACCACTGAACCACACTAACCTGGCCTCATTTTATTCTTTTAAGTTATCTTACTGAGCTTACTATGTCAATAAAGTCCCCATATGCTGTCATTGATAGTTTCATCCATTTTGTCCAACCAAAAATAAACAAGTAAATATAATTTTCTAATAAAGCTTTAGGTTTAACTTCTGCTTTGCTTTTGTAATTTATATCTAGATGAATTTTACAGTCTGACCCTATGACATGAACTCCATTATTTCCTGTCTTGAATAATACTGAATATGCTCTCTGCTCAGTAACGGTAACTCTTAAAAGTATAATAAAAGACAACTTGGGAAAACTCCATTTTCTTAATCAGCAGATCACATTTTATGATAACATTCTGAATTTAATATTTAGCATTTATCATGTACTCAGACTCTTAGAGGTACTAGGTATTTCATATAGAAGGTGTTTCCTGTTGTCAAAGAGCTTCTATCATAAAAGGTGTTGACTTACAGACTCAGAAACCAGTTTTCAATACCTAGCCACCCTTTTTTGGAGCACCTCTGATTTGAATTCAGATTCTTTAGCAAGCCATGGTAACTACAGTGCAATAGAAAATGAGATCTGAGGTTTATATGATTTCCCTTTCCTTAGTTTGTAGAGATAGTTTCATTACTGATAAAGAAAATCCTGGGGTGCCTGGTAATTGGCAGAGATTAAAAGGAGGACAGGAATCTCTGAGGAATGGTGGACATCGAGAGACAATATAGTAGTTCAGGGTATGGGATCTGAAGTCAGACTTAGATTCAAATCTCAGCTCTACTCACTAGTTATATGACCTTGGGAAAGTTACTTAATCTCCCTCACGTTTGATTTCTTTATCTGTAAAATTAATATAGTGATTCCTACCTCATTAAAGGATGTTGGAATTGAAATTATTAAATTATAATTATTAACCAGATTTAGAATCTCTATTTAGAATTTATTTGTCAGCAATGTGTTGCTAGAATAAGATTGTTTAGAGAATACTTTTAAGCCAGAATTATTTCAATGTATCTTATTTGCCCTTTTCTTTATATTGGTGTATCCTGTTGCTTGCTCCTGTTTATCCTTTTTTAAAAACTATTATTTTAGCTTTTCCACTGCAGATTTCCCTTTTTGTATTAACACAGAAGTCAGAGCCAGTAGCTACCTTCCTGATAGGAAATTTTCTCAGCTAATTTTCAAGGTGTATAATAGGAAGAGGGCAGGGGAGAAGCGCTCCTAGAGACATTGAACAATTAATTATATTGTAATGGAGCTATAGAGGGAGGAGTAGATGACTGGCCCAGAGAAAACATGATTTCTCTGGTGCCAGGATTATACTCAGAGGCATTTCTGCCTATCTCCACTTTGCAAGGCACGGTGCCAGTGAGAACAGCAGTTAGTACACCCATAGTGGGGTTTACTAGCTTCCACACCGTGTTTGGTGGGTTCTTAACTTCAGGATAAGGAATTAAATTTTTTACCCAGCAGGAAGTGATTGCCATTTACTGATTTTTTTTGGTAGCAAAGATCTAGCTTGGGATATGAGTATTCCAAAGATGTGCTGTCATGAGGAAGGAGATGCTAACAAATGTTGCTCACTGGAATCAAGGAAAGGCAGTAAGATGTGTGTATGTGTGTACATAGCCTGGAACACACCTGTGAAAGTCAATTTCATGCTTTAGACTTGACAGCATAGTACTTTTAGGCATTTTTTTCCTCTTCTTCCATAACTTTTTCTGAATACTCCTATGATCCTTTTGTTTTCTGTGCAAATGAACACTGAATTGCTCCTTTTAAAGCATAGCTACACTGATCACCAGCAGCCTGGGTGCCTGAGTTGCCAACATACCATAACCCACATAAATGAAGACAAAAAAAGTGTTCATGGCAGAAGGGCATTCCTGCTGTCCATGATGCTAGGCTCCACTGATTAGCACAGCTTTACTCAGTGAAAAAAAGACTGTGAGGCATACGCCTAGTAGTTCAAAGGTAGTACATAGGTATTATCATGAACAAAATTTTCTAAAGGTTATAGTCATTAAATCTCTCTATCCAGAGGTCTAATAGACCAATAGATGAATTCTGATTATATGTATTTTATTTATCTATTGACATTATAATATTCCTGAAGACCTGATACTTGGATGTTCTACACTGGAAATCATCATGATTTACACCAAAGCAAATCAATGTTGGCCTAGTTCCTTAGAGCCCAGAAAATTACTCCTTGATGTGAGACTCCCCAAACCAGACTTAACTTCACATCTCTCCGGACTAGTTATGGAGACTGTATGAATGGTAACTTTGAAACACTTTGAAGAAATATGAAGCTCCTTGTGAATGTGTAATATTATGATTTTTATTGTGAAATATGTATTGTTTTTTAGGGGACAATATTTATTCAAAAACAAACCTCCTGATGGGAATGCTCCTCCCAACTCTTTTTACAGAGCACTTTATCCTAAAATTATACAAGACATTGAGGTAAGAATCTATGTATATTTGGGTATTTGCCAAATACTAGAGAATCATCAACAATCTTCAGTAATAGCATTGTTACAGCAAACCCATTAAGGTTTATTGATGTGGGTTAAAAATCTATTTCTTTGTAAGAGAATAGAGAAGGTAAAATATAGTAAATAGCCAGGCAAAGATTTGTATTTAAACACTGTTTACTGATAAATAGATGAGAGAGAAAGAGAGACTATGATGTCTTCAGATAATAGCAATGAGACTGCTAAAGTTACACTCTTTTTTGTCTTTATTGATTTTTAGAGAGAGAGGAAGGGAGAGGGAGAGATCGAAACATCGATGAGAGAGAACATTGATTGGCCGTCTCCTGCATGCCCCCCGCTGGGGATCGGGCCCACAACCTGGGCATGTGCCCTGACCAGGAATCAAACCGATGACCTTTTGATGAATGGGGTTGACACTCAACCACTGAGCCACACCGGCCAGGCCAAAGTTACACTCTTAACCTGATATTCAGATATCTTCTGAATTGAGCCTCCATGGAGGTTGGCTGGTAGAAATGGCCACCATGATGTAAGAAGAACACTGAGCACATAACCTCATGTGGTTCATAGCTTGCCCTCTATCGGTGAGCAGTTTCTTTCCACCAGGTTTATGATTTAGCTGAATGAGTTATATGGAGAGTTCTAGAAAATAAATCTTTACTTCACAAATGGAAAAATGTTTCATAATTTTAAATAGTGGCTTTTTTAGTTTTCCTTAAGTGCTATATATCCAATAGAGTGAAGCATTGAGCATTTGTCATTGATTGCCATTAAAGTCAAATAAGAGTTTAGTTCTGTTCCTTTCCTAATTACTGCCTCTTATGTTATTTTTTTTTTCAGACAATAGAATCTAATTGGAGATGTGGAAGACACAGTTTACAGAGAATCCACTGCCGAAGTGAAACAAGCAAAGGAGTGTACTGTTTACAGTATGATGATCAGAAGATAGTAAGCGGCCTTCGAGACAACACTATCAAGGTAAGGTTTCTTCAGTTGTGGGAACTTAGCTAATGAAGCTAGGGTGACCACATTCATAAAACAATCGAAAGCATAAATTCTAAATATTATTTCCAGGAAGTTAATGAGCATTTTAGATTGTTTCTAGTCCCAAAGCCAAAATCCTTAAAGGACAGATACCTGCTTCCCCCCAGAAGAGTATACAAATGGATTGCTAAATTCTCTTCTTTTTTTTTTTTTATCCTCACCCGAGGACATTTTTCCATTTTTTGTTCAGGTAGAGTGGGAGGGAGAGAGAGGAACAGAGAGAGAGAGAGAAACATCGATGTGAAAGGAACACATCGAGTGGCTGCCACCCGCACAACCGACCAGGGCCTGGGACAAACTGCAACCGAGGTACGCGCCCTTAGCGGGAACCGAACCCGGGTCTCTCAGGGCCTCAGGCCTACGCTCTAACCGCTGAGCCAAACCGGCCAGGGCTAAATTCTCTTCTTGAAGTGCACTGAATGGGCTATTACTCTTGGCCCTCAAATAATTATAGGCTAACCTTGTTCCTTAATGAAAAGGATAAAGTCTGCATTTGTACCGAAGCTACATATATAGGTGCTTAGCTATACCTAGAGAAAAGAATGCATTCCATACTACTCTGGGCTTTGATTCTTTTGGGGAATCAAACACATAATAGAGCCAGCAAGTCTCTGCAGCACCCCATTATCACAGTGATCAAAAGGATCTTGTTTGCCATCCTAGATCTGGGATAAAAGCACATTGGAATGCAAGCGAATTCTCACAGGCCACACGGGTTCTGTCCTGTGTCTCCAGTATGACGAGAGGGTGATCATAACTGGATCATCGGATTCCACGGTCAGGTAGAAAATTTCAAACGATCTTTTGAACTCTGAAATATTAGATCCATTCTGTCTTTATCATAGATAGTAATTCTGTATGTATCTGCATGAACATAGTTCTGTAACTTCATAACTAATGAAGAATAAACCATCAGCTCTCCCTCCATTGTTGTGTTAATCTAGAACTAGAAAACTTGAATTAGGAATGATTAAGGTAAGTTTACATTTTTGTACATTTAAGAAACTACACGTTCTGTTTTAATTTGCTGGAATCATCTATTATAGTAACTTGGTAAACCTTGCATTCCTTACAAAAAACACTTCACAAGGGAATGACATGAATGAAATGAAGCCTTCCTTTCAGGTGCTTATAACTGTAGTGCAGGCATGTGTTATCGCCTTTAAAATGTATATAGGTGAGCAATGCTCTCTCTTTGCCAGCCCCTCCCCTGCTGTCCCTGCAGTTTTTAATTGCAAGCTTCACTCAGGGAGGGGCCTTCAATTTCCAGAGGCATTAGTGATTTGATGACACAGCCATTATGCTGCTGGAGTCCAGTGTAGCTTGAGTTCTGGGTACCAAAAGCACTGCTGGAAACCCTGTTAGGAATTTTGCCGTAAGCTAAAAGATTTAGCAAACATAATGCATCAAAAGTAACTTTTTAAAAAATGGTGGTGGCGGGGGGAGCAGTTAACTGCATTGTTAGATTCTCTGAAGTTAAATGTTTACCATTCCCAGTTATCCTCTGAATAGAAAAGGCTGTTCTTGTTTCTTGTCTTTTGACTTAAAGGCATAGCAAACTCTGTTCTTATAGTTATCGACATTTAACATTTATTGGTGCGTGTGGAGTGCCTCAAGGAAGCTGAAGCATTGAAGAGGCTAACATCATTTATAGGATAAGGCAAAAACAATTTTCTAAAAAAGGGGGTTAAACTGGAAAAAGAAATAACTGATGTTATAAAAACCAAAGTAAATATACAAAAATGGAGTAATCAAAGTCAAATACTGTATCCCTCATCACATAAAATTCTCACGCTATCCAAGGGTCCCATCTTCTACTGTGAAGCCATATTTACAGTGGATGGCTCTTCTTGATCCCAGTCCCCACTCAAAGCACAGAAGTGGGGCCTTAGACTTAGGGTCTAAGTAATTTTGGGCCTGGACCTGTGTGGTAAAATCTAAGGTTCAGGGTCATCAAGCTCAAATCCACAGTACTAAATCAGTTTGTTGCAGAAGCTTCTTTGCCTATATCAGTTCTAGTCCTGAGGGCTATCCATAGGACTCCAATGCTGCTGTTACTAATCAGATTCTCAGTTTTAAATGTATTTTATTAATGGTATCAGATTAAATGTCTGAAGATTTAGAATAATCTTGAGATCTGGGTCCAATTAGTACATGATGGTGGCTGCTACCTCATTCCTACCTCCCACACATGCCATATTTCAAGTAGTGTGTCCTAAGCATTTCACATTGACAGCATCCCATCTCCTTGTTTTTCCCACTCTCCTAGTCCAGCCCTCTATCTACCACTTCCCCATGGTCCATCAGTACTCTACCTCAGTTCAGCTTCAAAGCTGCAGAAGAAGAGTAGGGTATGGTACTAGCTATGAAGGTGGGGCAGGAGGGATGGGAAGTGCAGGGGTCACATACTGGTAATAGACTGTAGCATCAGTACCATCAAAATCTCAGAAAGCCTTCTTAATGTTTTCTGTTCCAGGGTGTGGGATGTAAATACAGGTGAAATGCTAAACACATTGATTCATCATTGTGAAGCAGTTCTGCACTTGCGTTTCAATAATGGCATGATGGTGACCTGCTCCAAAGACCGTTCCATTGCTGTATGGGATATGGCCTCCCCAACTGACATCACCCTCCGGAGGGTGCTAGTCGGACACCGAGCTGCTGTCAATGTTGTAGACTTTGATGACAAGTACATTGTTTCTGCATCTGGAGATAGGACTATAAAGGTAAAAGGCATTTTTCAGTAAGTCCCCAACTTAAGAATAAGGAAGTTCATATGAAAACATGATCAAGGGCAATTTCATATTGAAACATCACTATAGACTAACTTAATATTTAATTCAGATACTAGTCTATGTGTAAAAAGGTAATAAGTGAGATAAGTTGTGTGACAGTTTTGGTTAAGTATTTTATTACTATAAATAATGGTGAGTGTAAGAAGAATGGGTAAATTTAGGTTCAAGAAAATTTGTATGTAAGACCAGATTAACACCGTAAGAGTAAATCAGTTTGAAGGATCCTCATGTGATAGCAGCAAGCTACAAATTTGCCCTATATTACCATGTATCAAACTTGTCATTGGATTGGTTTGGTTTAGCTCAAGAAGTTGACTTGGCTCAGTCCTGTTTTCTGCTTCTCCAGGACTCCACTTGCCATAGATTTTATTAGTGAAAGCATCAAATCAACTGCCAAATGCCATTTTCTGTTTCAGGTATGGAACACTAGTACCTGTGAATTTGTGAGAACCTTAAATGGACACAAACGCGGCATCGCCTGTTTGCAGTACAGAGACAGGCTGGTTGTTAGTGGCTCATCTGACAACACGATCAGGTGAGCAGCAGGTGCCATTCCCAGAAGGTATCAGTATTATCCTGCCATTTATTGTTTGTGCACAGTTCAAACAAATCTTCAACTGTGTTATGTTTATAATAAAATGTTTTTTCTTTCTGTAGCTTCTTGCAGGTCAAAAGTTTGCCCCAAGCAGAGAGGCAGCACAGCAAAGCCTTTTGTTGATGTGTTTCCTTCCTGTAATAGTTTTATCACCAGATAGACCTATTTAAAAGGTACTGCTTGAATGAAGTAGTAAGAGAGATAAGTAGATTGAGGTTGAAAGCCCTTCTCTTTAAATTTCACCTGTCTACAGTTGGAAAGTGCTAATAAATAGCTAAAGGCCATTTCTCTTTGCCACTAGTCTAAAAAAAAGAAACATTTGTTTCCCTACTAGCAAGTGTACATTTTGTTTTCTTATCATTGCATAATTGGCCAGAGAGTTACCAGTCTTTGAAATTATAAAGAATCCATAAGTTGAAGTATTTTTTGGTGTTTTCCCTTCACAAAAATGAACAACACAGATATGAATTGAATTTGGATGATTTATCAATCTTCTCCATTCCTTCAAAGAAGTACTAAGAGGATGAAAGGGCCATTTTAAAAAACAACTGATAGAGCTGTCATTATATGTAAGGAAATTATCATTCATAGAAATCATTTGGATTGGTCTGAAAGCATACAGTTTTTGTATGTTAGTATATAAAAGTTTCTGAGAACTTACCTTGCATTTCCATTAAATGAGAAAGACTGTCCTTGACAATGGGTGACAGCATGAGTGTCCTCAGTGAAAGATGTGGGCATGCTTTGTGAGGGCAGGATGTCACTGACATTCTTCATCTCGTTCTTATTGGTGATTTCAGGAAGATTACTGTTCTTGACTTGGTGTTTTTCTTTCCCAGGCAACTATGTGCATTGAATTCACATCTTGGAGACCCTGGTTACAGAATTATATAAAGCATTGTGCTATATATACTACGTTTGAACTTAAATCATACATTTTTCTACCTGAGTTATACGGCAGAAAGGAAATAAATTACATTGAAAGCAGTACATTTTTGTATGGGTGTTGATTTATTTTATTTCTGTGGATTTTTTAAAAGATATTGAAGTATGCCCTGGTCAGATTGGCTCAGCAGTTGGATCATCGGCCCACAGATCGAAGGGTCTCGGGTTTGATTCCAGTCAAGGGCACGTGCCTTGGTTGCGGGTTTCCTCAGCCCTGACCAGGGCTGTGCAGGAGTCAACCAACTGATGTGTCTCTCTCAACATCCATGTTTCTCTCTACCTCCCTCCCTTCCACTCTCTCTAAAAAATAAAAAAATCAATGGGAAAACATTTATTTTAAGATATTAAAGTATATTATTATAACATCCCAAGCTTGGGAAGAATACATGAAAATTCACGTGACTCAATTTTCTTTTCCAGGTTATGGGACATAGAATGTGGTGCATGTTTACGAGTATTAGAAGGCCATGAGGAATTGGTGCGCTGTATTCGATTTGATAACAAGAGGATAGTCAGTGGGGCCTATGATGGGTGAGTTTGCATCTACATCTTGATCCCTCCTGCCTTAGGATATTAACTATAGCTTCTCCTTGTCCCTAAGAGATTATAGATTTCACAGAAAGGACCTAATATAATAGTTCTTGTTGTCTAATTTAGGTAGTCACCTCTCCTTTGTTTACTCTTTTCAAAAATATTCTTCCAGCCCTAGCCGGTTTGGCTCAGCAGTTAGAGCATCAGTCTGCGGTCCAGAGAGACCAGGGTTCGGTTCCCACTAAGGGCGCGTACCTCAGATGCAGTTTGTCCCTGGCCCTGGTTGGCCATGCGGGTAGCAGCCACTAGATGTGTCCCTTTCAGGTTGATGTTTCTCTCTCTTCCTCTCTCTCCCTCCCACACTGTCTGAACAAAAAATGGAAAAATGTCCTCAGGTGAGGATTAAAAAAAATATATATATATGTTCTTCCCAATTATTTAATTGTACTTGTTTGCTTATGATTTTTATTGATATTTGGGTTTTGGGGTATATATTTTTCTGTTTTTCTCTATAAAGCAAAAAACTGAACAAATCTAGTATAATAGGGATATGAATATAAAATAGTGACTTACTAATAAAACTAAAACATTGGAAGGCAATATCTATGGGGCTTAAAGTGGTAGGATCTTAAATTTTGATATCTTTGAATGTTTCCAAAAACTGCAGCTCCCTTGTCTTTACTTTTCCTCACATTTCAGTTACAATGAGTTTAATAATTTTTATTTTATTCTGTCTCATTTCCAATGAATATAGAATCCATTCATGTTGTGGATGGATCCCATGTCTAGCAACACTAAATAACATAGTAAATTCTTACAAAAGTATATTTGGTTATGAAAACCTCTTTATCATTTCTTCTTCTCAGGGTACCTAATTAGAGGGGTACAAAGCTACAGTTCAAATATTGGCAGCTTTTTAAATATCAGAAACTAACCTAACAGCATTATGTTAGTGTGTATGAACTGACTATATTGATATGTTAAGACAATTCAATCAGCAGGAAGTGTAGCAGGCCTACTTCTTCTGCTTTGAGTCAGCCATCACTCTCATACCCTTGGGAAATTGTTCAGGATGTGATGACATGTTCCAGTTAGGGCCAAGGTTATATTTTCTCATTCCCATGGTTTTTATCTGTACCCACTTTTCTTGGGTTTTGTCTGTTATTTACCTTGAGGAGATATGAACTATAATTAATGTTTAGAAGGGCTAAACTTTTATTTAAATCAAAATATGAGTATTTTTAATATAAACTCCAGAACTCTTAAATGGACCCCAGTCCTCTAGTACATGTGACCTGGGCCATTCTTCAAACTGACCAAAAAGGACATGCATCAGAGCACAAGTTTAGATCTAAGTGATCCTTTTATTAAGAGGTCTAATATATAAGATCTTTTTAACCCTAAAATATGTTATAACTTTACTGTTCAGTATCTTCATCAGTTTGGTTAAAGATAACCTGTTTCTCGTTTTTAAGTTAATCACATACATTTTCCCCTGTCAAGACCAAGAATGAATATAAGAACCAAGTCTCCAAAACAAAAAAGTTTTTATATATTTCTTCACCATACATATTTATTGTCATGATGTTTTGGTATTTTTCTTGTACTCTCTTAATTTTGCTTTTAAATAAGGTTTTTGTCCCCTTTTTGATCTTTAGAAAAATTAAAGTGTGGGATCTTGTAGCTGCTTTGGATCCCCGTGCTCCTGCAGGGACTCTCTGTCTACGGACCCTTGTGGTAAGAGTCTTATTGTTTAAAGGGAGTTGGGGAGCAGGAAGGAGAAGAAATTAAACATTGATGTGCTGTGGAATACAGATCTGGATTTGATAGTTAGAACCTCACAAAACCTACTACTAAGTGGAAAGGCAACCAATACATGACAATAAAATATGTTTATATAGCGCCTTTCATCCAAAAGTGCTTTAGAGACTATATATGGAGAGAAATGTGGCAGCTGTTTAACAGCTGCACAGCAACTCTACACATCAGTTTAGTACAGGAAGTGAATAAGAATTCTGTATGCACCAGAAACAGTAGGGGGTACTTAGGGAGAAGGAGCATAATTACTCAAATTGGAACCTGTCCAGAATCTGAAGACCTGCGCACCTGTACCTGCAAAAAGTGCCATGGGAGTCTGCATGAACCCCCTGGTCAACCCCTTAGTTCTACATCCTATTCAAGGGATGCTGCCTACAGCAACTTAAATCCCATCTTTTTTATTCCCTGTATACCCCCTTGCCTGAACATCTTGACATTTGGAAAAAGAAGTGACACAAAAGGACTAATGTTACCTTTGAAAGCATTGAATTCTTTATCATAGTGTTTGCCAAAGGCCTGGATTAGAAAATGTTCTAAGGTTAAAAGCTGCTTTCATTAGAAAATGAAGATTAGGTGGGGCACTAGGGAAGACAGAGTTTTTTGCATAATTCAGGAAAAAGATGAGAACAAACATTTGAATCCTCAGTATTCTGAATCCTGGCTCAACATTTAGGCAGGCTCTGCTCTAGAAAAGAGCTACATTTCTTTCTTTCTTTTTGGATTTAAAGCTAATTCTTTCAGTACTAAACATGCTTTACCTTCATGTTTCACACATTTTTTAAAACAAATTCTTTCGTTCATTTACAATTAATCTAAGTCTGGTTTTTAAGGTATAACTTACATATAGAAAAATTGTTCATTTTTAGTGTACTGCTATGAATTTTGCAGATGTGTAAATACCACAATCAAGTTATAGAAAATTTCCATCATCCTCTCAAAATTCTGTCCCTTAAAATCACCCCTAGCAACTATTCATCTGATTTCTGTCCTTGTAGTTTTCCTGTCTTATGAATGTCATATAAATTAAATCATACAGTATGTAGCATTTTGCCTTTGGCTCTTTTTACTTCATTTAAGATTCATCCTTGTTGCCCTGGCCATGTGGCTCAGTTGGTTGAACACCATACCATGTACCAAAAAATCACCAGTTCGATTCCTGGTCAGGGCACATGCCCAGGTTTCAGGTTCGGTCCCCAATCAGGGTGCATATGAGAAGCAACCAGTCGATGTTTTTTTTGTGTTTGTTTTTTTATTTTATTTTTCTTTACTGATTTTAGAGAGACAGAGGAAGGGAGAGAGAAATAGAAACATCAATGAGAAAGAACATCCATTGGCTGCCTCCTGCATGCCCCTCACTGGGGATCAGGCCCACAACCTGGGCATGTGTCCTGACCGGGAATCAAACTGGCAACCTCTTGGTGCATGGGGTCGACGCTCAACTACTGAGCCATGCCAGCCGGACTATTGTCAGGTTTTTTTTTAAGATTTTTTTTTATTGATTTTTAGAGAGAAGAAAAGGGAGAGAGAGAGAGAAATATTGATGTGAAATATCAATTGGCTGCCTCCTACCAGGGATCGATCCTGCAACCCCAACATGTGCCCTGATCTGGAATTGAACCAGCAACCTTTCAGTGCATGGAACAACACTCAACCGACTGAGCCACACTGGCCAGGGCTAGTATTGTCAGTTTTTGTTTTTTTTTTATTATAGCCATTTGAGTGAGTGGGTAGTGGTTATAGTTTTCATTTGCATTGTGGTAATTAACGGTGTGGAACATCTTTTTTTAAATTTTTATCCTCACCTGAGGGTATTTTTCTGTTGATTTTTAGAGAGAATAGAAGGAAGGGAAGGAGGGAGGTGAAGAGAGAGGGAGAAACACTCATGTGAGAGAGATACATCACTTGGTTGCCTCCCACACAACCCTTACCGGGGCTGGGGATCAAACCAGCAACCCAGGTCCATGCCCTTGACTGGAATCCAACCTGCAACACTTTGGTCCAAGGGCCAAATACCCTAACCACTGAGCAAAACCAGCCACGGCATCTAGAACATCTTTCATGTTCTTTTGTGAAGTGTCTGTTCAAATCTTGTCCTCATTTATTGAGTTGTCTTAAATTTTTAAAAACAGATTTAGTGAAATATAAGTGACATACAAAAAGTGGATATATTTAAAGTATGCAACTTAATAAATTTTAATCAATGAAACTATCATTTCAACCAAGACAATGAATGTATCCTCATGCTCCCTATGTAATCCCCCCTTCCATTCCATCCATTTTTCCCTGCTCTAGTCCCAAGCAACCACTAATTTGCTTTCTGTCAATATTGATTAGTTTGCATTTTCTATGATTTAATTAATGAAATCAAAAAAGAATATGGTCCCTGGCCGGTTTGGCTCAGCGATTAGAGCATCGGCCTGAGGTCCAGAGAGACCCGGGTTCAGTTCCAGCTAAGGGCACGTACCTTGGTTGCAGTTTGTCCCCGGCCCTGGTTGGGTCATGCGGGTGGCAGCCACTTGATGTGTCCCTTTCACGTCGATGTTTCTCTCTCTCTCTCTCTTTCTCTCTCTTTTCCTCTCTCTCCCTCCCACTCTATCTGAACAAAAAATGGAAAAATGTCCTCAGGTGAGGATAAAAAAAAAAAAAAGAATATGGACTCTTTTTGCCTGTTTAAGCCTAATTATTTTGATATTCACCCATGTTGTTGATGTAAATCAGTAGTTTATTGCTAAGTAGTATTTCATTGTATGGTTATACCACAGTGTATCCACTTACCAATTGATGAAAATTTGGATTGTTTCCAATTTTTTGCTATTAACAATAAAGTTTCTATAAACATTATGTGCAAGTCTTTATGTGACCATATGCTTGCATTTTCCCGGGTAAATTCTAGGAGCAGAATTGCTAGATCATATGGTAATAAATGTATGTTTAATTTTAGAAACTGCCAAACTGTTTTTCAAAGTAGTTATACCATTTAACATTATAATACAAATGTGCAGTTATTCCACATCCTCACCAATACTTATTGTACAGTCTTTTTAAAATTTGAGTCATTCTAATAAGTGTCTGGTGGTACCTTATTGTGATCTTTATTTGCATATTCCTAATGTTAATCATCATTTCATGTGTTTATTTGCCATGTTTATATCTACTTTGGTGAAGTATCTGTTTGAATCTTTTGCCCGTTTCTTTAACTGAGTGGTTTTCTTATTGAGGTTTGAGATTTCATTACATATTCAGGATACCCATTTTGTTTTTTCATTCCCTTAAAAAATCTTTTGAAAAGCAGAAATTATTAATTTTGATTAAGTCAAATACATCAACTTTTTCTATTATGGTTTGTGTTCTTTGATATTACATATATTTTTTTAAATTTTTGCCTAGTCCAAAGTCACAAAGATTTTCCCATGTTTTCTTTTAGAAGCTTTATAGTTTTAGGTTCTACATTTTGGTCTATAATTCATTTTGAGTTAATTTTTGTGGTACAAGTTATGGTTCAAAGTTCATATGGATATCCAGTTGGTCCAGCACCATTTATTCAAGACTATCCTTTTTCCTCTGAATTGCCTTTGCGGCTTTGTCAAAAACCTATTAACCATATGTATGGGGGTCTACTTATGGACCTATTCCACTGATCTTTTTGTCTGTTTATCTGTGTTAATGCCAGTATCATACTTTCTTGGTTACTGTAGCTTTTTAATAACTCATGAAGTCAAGTCCTTCAACTGTGTTCTTTTTCAAAATTTTTGGGGTCCTTTGAATTTTCGTGTGAATTTTAGAATCTGTTTTGCCGCCCTGGCCGGTTTGGCTCAGCGGTTAGAGCGTCCACCTGCGGTCCGGAGAGACCCGGGTTCGGTTCCCGCTAAGGGCATGTACCTCGGTTGCAGTTTGTCCCCGGCCCTGGTTGGTCGTGCGGGTGGCAGCCACTCGATGTGTCCCTTTCACATCGATGTTTCCCTCTCTCTCTCTTCCTCTCTCTCCCTCCCACTCTGTCTGTACAAAAAATGGAAAAATGTCCTCGAATGAGGATTAAAAAAAAAAATAAAAATAAAAAAAAAAATAGAATCTGTTTGCCAATTTTATCCCACCCCCAGCCCCAAAAATAATCTGCTGAGATTTTCATTGGGATAGTGTTAAATCCAGATCAATTTGGATTGAACAGAATTGACTTCTTAACAGTATTAAGTCTTCTGATCCATGAATACAGTATATCTCTCAATTTGTTTAGGTCTTTTAAAAACTTCTCAGCAGCATTTTATAGCTTTCAGTATAAACCTCTTATACATCTTTTGTCATGTTTATCCCTAAGTATTTCATATTTTTAATGCTATTGTAAATAGTATTTTGAAATTTCTGGGTTGTTCAATGCAAGTGTGTACCAATACACTTCTACTTTTTCGATCTGTGTACCTTTTATTTCTCTTTCTTGTTTTATTGTACTGACTAAGATTTTCAGTACAATGTTCAAAAGAATTAATAGCAGTACATGTCCTTATCTTGGGGTAAAGGAATTTGGTCTTTCACTATTTTATATATACATACATAGAGATATGTGTTAGCCATAGATTTTTCATAGATACATATTATAAGGGGATTAGGAAGTTCCTTTCTGTTCCTCAGTTGCTGAGAGTTTTATTAGAAATATATGTTGGGTTTTAATAAATGCTTTTTTAAAAATTTTTTTTTTTTTTTAGAGAGAAAAAAAGGGAGAGAGAGAGAGAAACATCGGTGTGAGAGAGAAACATCTATCGGCTGCCTCCTGCACACCCCACACTGGGGATAGAACCCGCAACCCAGGCATGTGCCTTTGACCGGGAATCAAACCTGTGACCCTTCAATGTGCAGGCCGACGCTGTAGCCATTGAGCCACACCAGTCAGGGCAGCTAATACCTTTTAAATAATGTCAATAAAATGAAGTAACATATTAAGATAAATTTCGACAAAATATTAGCAGATTGAATCCAACAGTGTATAAAACTAATTGCACATCATGACCAAGTGGGATTTATTCCAGTTATTCAAAGCAAGTATAATATTTTTAAAAATCAGTTAATATAACCCAACATCAAAAGTTAAAGAAGAAAAATCATATGATTATATCAATAGATGCATTTGGCTAAATCCAACATCCATTCATGATAAACTCTCAGCAAACTAGGAATAGAGGGGAACTGTTTCAACTTCATAAAGAAAAATGCAAATTAAAACTCCAATGAAATACCACTATACATCTATCAAAATAACTAAAATTTAAAAGATTGACAGTATCAATTTATTGATGAAATGAAGCAACTGGAACTCTGATAACATGGCTAGTAGGAGTATAAATTGGCACAACTTTTAAAAAACTGTTTTGCCATCTCTACTAAAGCTAAACATACGTCTTCATGGGCCAGCGGTTCTACTCCTAGGTGAAATGAGAGCATATATCCATCAAAAGACATGCACATAAATGTTCATAGAAACTTTATTTATAATAGCCAAAACTACAGTAAGGCTATAATATGTCCACCATAGGAGATGATAAACTGTAGTGTGTTCATATAATGGAATATCAATCAGTAGAATAAAGAATGAACTTCTGTTGCATGCAGTAACAGAGAGGAATCTTATACTGTTGAGTGAAAGAAACCAGGAAAAAAGAATACATGCTGTTATGAGTGTATTTATAGGAAATCTAAGAACAGGAAAAATGAATTAATGAGAGCAGTGGAATGAAGGTAGTATTGACTTTGTAAGGGGCATGAGAGTGCTTTCTGGGATGCTGGAAGTGATCAGGGTAGTGGTTACTACAATGGTGTGCTATATATGCTTATAACTGCTAATGAGAGTCAAATATTAAATTGTTATGAATGTTTAAAGCTGGTTGGCCTCATACAGGTAGCTTGAAATTGGCCAGGATAGGAATTTTTACACCATGAAAATGTGTAGATGCTTTTACAAATTGGGGAGAGTTAATTAATTGATAAACACTTACTAGCACACCACTTCTTATTGCTCATCAATACTTGGCCTCTAATTGTAGAAGAATCCTAGAGGTACAGAGAGAGGTAAAGGCCAGGGAGGTACTGAGCAATGGTCTTGTTCATCCTAAGCCTAGGAGAGTTAGCAATGAGAAACTAGCATACTATTTGACATGTCTCAGCTCTAATGAATATTACTTTGTGCATGAAATCAACTGCCCAATATTTGACTTTTCCATCTCGCCTTTCATTCAAATTAAGTTTTTTTTCTCTGTATTCTTGAAACAGCTAAATGGTAGAGAAAATTATCAACATAACATAGACTTTCCATAGACTCTTTTTGATGTGTTGCTGAATTTGTGTCCTTTTGATTTTGAGTAGTTCAGAAGTTTCTGTTTCTGCTTCTATAGGAGCATTCTGGAAGAGTTTTCCGACTCCAGTTTGATGAATTCCAGATTGTCAGTAGTTCACATGATGACACAATCCTCATCTGGGACTTTCTAAATGATCCAACTGCCCAAGCTGAACCCCCCCGCTCCCCTTCTCGAACATACACCTATATCTCCAGATAAATAATCATACACTGACCTCATACTTGCCCAGGTATGAAAAAGAATTGTGTACATAGTACTGTGGGTAGGAGATGGAATATTGGCTGTAAAGGTGTTGCCAGTTCATGGAACCTTCTCATATCCTTTATCTTTCCAAGTCCTGTAAAGCAAGGAAAGCAGACATCATGAGACAGGGCTGGGGCTGTGTAATGGATTCTGCCTTCATTGAGGTAGCCAGCTTCAGTTCTAGATGATTCTTGAACTAGATCCAGATGACCCTTGTGTAGTAGAACTAATAATCCCTGCCCCAGTTAATGGGATTGTTAAGAAAGTAAATGATTTAGCCCTGGCCAGGCTGCTCAGTTGATTAGAGTGTCATCCACATACGCCAAGGTTGCAGGTTCGATTCTCGGTCAGGGCACATACAAGAATCAACCAGTGAATGCATAAGTAAGTGGAACAATAAATCAACCTTCCTTCCTTCCTCCCTCCCTCCCTCCCTCCCATCTAATCTATCTCTTTCTTCATCTCTCTATCCTTTCCTCTCTCTCTCTAAAAAAAATCAATAAATAAAAATTCAAAAATTTTTCAAAAAAAAAAAAGAAAGAGATTTGAATCAGTTTCAAAACTAAGAGTAATGACTCAAAAGCCTGTGGCTTTGTAGTTCCCGATTAAACCAGTACCTATAATAAAGACCCTTTAAATCAGGTAGATAATCTAATGTGTGAATGGGAAAATCTCATAGTGAAATATGCTAACCTCTCTCCGCTCTGCCTTGTCAGTGCCACTTGATTATAAAAGGTAGGGTTTTTTAGCCTTATCCTCACTCTTCACCCCCTCTAAAAATGAAAAGAACTAGAAGTCTGGAATTGGTGAGAACTCCATGTATTTTCCCATTCAAGTCTTCATCCTCCCTCTGAGGCAGGAAAAGATCCTAAAATTCATCTTTATCTATATTGTGGTATATTCAGATCATACCTGATGTCCTAACCAGTTCAAATACATAAAGTTATCATTGATTTGGGAAAACTGTACTACTACCGGGGAGCATCGCCATCCTTATGATTTCTCGTTTCCCACACTTGCCTCAGTGCTTGTGGCAGAAGTATGCATTTAGTACACTTTCCTGCACATCTTTTTACAGTGGTTCTTCTGAGTGGGGTGGTTTGTGACTTGCTGGGCTCATTTCAGTGCTCACTTCTCACAGAGGACATGCTGCTTCCTTACTCCTCAGCCTCTTCAACCAAGTCACACAGGCAGACCATGGTGAGAATCCTAGCTGTGTGCCCTTGGGCAAGTAACTTCCCAGAGCCTTAATTTCCTTATTAGTTAAATGAGGGTTGCGGTACATACTACCCAGAGCTGTTTTGAGGATTGCATTGAAATGTTATATGTAAAATTCTTAGGCCTAGCACCTAACAAGCCCTTAGTAAAAAGTGGTTTATGCCCTGGCCAGTTTGGCTCAGTGGTTAGAGGATCAGCCTGTGATCCCGAGAGACCCGGGTTCAGTTCCCACTAAGGACACTTACCTCGGTTGCAGTTTGTCCCTGGCCCTGGTTGGGTCATACAGGTGGCAGCCACTCGATGTGTCCCTTTCACATCGATATTTCTCTCTCTCTTCCTCTCTTTCCCTTCCAGTCTGTCTGAACAAAAAAATGGAAAAATGTCCTCAAGTGAGGATTAAAAAAAAAAAAAAGTGGTTTATTAGTATTAATATTGTAATCATCATGGTACCTATTCCCTCCTTTTGCCAGAATTTTTTGTTCCTGAGATTTCTATGGCATTTTGCCATATTTAATATTCTTCCTGGTGCTCTTATGGCTCTCCTTCCCCTCTCACCCCTCAAACATACACATCCCATAAGAGTCTGTCTCAGGCTTTTCTTCCTTATCTAAGCTCCCTTCTTTGGCTGCCTTATCTCTTCCCAAGGCTTCAGCTCTTATCTCAATGTAGATGACTCTCAAATGTGCCTCTCTCGTCCCAGCCTCTGCCTTAGTCTCCAGACCACATATCCAGCCACCACCTACAAATCTGTCTTTGAAGACCATTCAAGGCCAGAACCTCAGAACTGTCCTTACTTGCTGTACCTTTATAGGTAGCAGGCAAAAGCTTGATGCTACACTCACCTTAGTCACTCTTAATCTCAAGACATCAGAGTCCCTCTGTGTGAGCACTGTGGCCCTGAACATGTCAGTGAGCCCCCTTCTAGGTCCCCAGACAGGCCAAGTAGCCTTTAACAGAAGCTCCTGCTTAGCATAGGCCAAGAGCAGGCATTAAGAAGGAACTCTGAGCCTTTCTCCCAGTTGATAGCTAAGCTAATAATCTTTTTCTCATAGAGCAAGTGAGAAATACAGGGAAAGGGACTAATGATTATTTGCTCTGTTTTCACACAGGACTCATTAAAGTTGCGGTATTTAACGTATCTGCCAATACCAGGATGAGCAACAACAGTAACAATCAAAATACTACCCACTTTCCCTGGACTAGCCAAAGAGTGGGGCTTTGAGACGCCTGTTGGGACACAGCGGTCTGCAGTTGACTCAGGAGGGTCTGCCCAGCACAGCTGTCTGCTTCCGTGCTGCTATCAGAAGATGTCTTTTATCTTTCATGAATGATTGGAACTTTTAAACCTCACCTCACTTCCCCTCCTCCTTTCCCCTGTGCACCTGTTTCTTCCTCATTTGGTTCCAGACAAAGATGACTTATAAATATATTTAGTGTTTTGCCAGAATCTCTCTTGCTTTGCTGTTAAGCAGAAGAACCAGTTTCCCTATATAGCCTGCTGGGAGAGACCCACTTCTAGGGGAGAGGGGGATGCAACTTCAAGCCAGACAGCACCCACTGTCTCCTTGTGAACTACAGGAATGCCCAGCACCTGGCACGTTCTGCACAGCCCCTCTATGCTTAGGAGACAGCTGTCTGTATAGCCCCTGAGGCAAAAGAGAGAGACAACAAGAATGAGCACACTGGAAGGTCTGGGCCGCTTTCCTTCATCTCTTTTCTCTGTTTCTGTCCCTCTTCCTCTTTCCACTCCCCTTCAACCTGTTTTTCTGCTCCACCTGAGAAGAACAAGTATGAAGAGAATGTCCTCAGTTAGCATGAGGCAAATCAGCTAGAAAATGCAACACTCGGGAGAGTTCAATGCTGTTCAGTCAAAATTTCAAACCGAGGTTTTTGCTGCAAGTGACCCTATATGACAACAACAGGTTCTCAGACACAGTGTTCATCATATTTACAACTTTTCTTCCTTCTTCTAACATCCCTCCCCAAAGTGGGGGAGCAGAAATTTCCTGGGCTTCATCAATGGCCACATCTTTTTTGGACTCAGCAGTCTCCTTGATTCCATGTAGAGTGTGGAAAGGAGTTGCTGATTGCATTTCCTCTCATTAACAATTAGATGTGTACTAAAAAGCATTGTACTTCATCTTAAATCACTGGTAAGGCTCAGCCTACAGAAAGGCTTGAAATGGCCAGATTGCTGGTGCATTCTGCAAAGTGGTTCACTTCTCTGATTTCCTCATCAGGCCTGTGAGCGCCCAGGCACCTGCCAAGACCATGATCAGAGTAGCTTAAGAGAGGTGGTCAGGAGTAAAATGTGATTTTTTTTTTTTCATTTAGGCCAGTAAATATCATTACTCAAAAATCAAGCTAATCATCTCAACCTTGCACTGCAGAATCTTCCTTCTGTTTTTCCCAGGCCTGGTATTTATAAAGGGCAAAGTTGCCAGAGAGAGCAGATCAGGGTGAAGTTTGGCACACAGGGTTTATTACTGGGCAGAAACTGCCTTCTCTTTCCTTTTTTTCCTCCTCCTAGTCTTATTTTACTTTCCACTCTCCCCCATCCAGTAAAATTTCTCTGGGAGTTGATTAATAACATAAACAGATGGACCTCAGCAAGGGCCAGGCTGACCTGGCCACTTGGAAGGCAGCTGTATGGGAATCAGGTGCAGGGCATGTGTGCCACCCAACCTAGGAGCACAGGGAATACCATCAGCATGTGTTCAGCTTGTTTCCTAGGGCGAGAGTAGACCTGCACCAGCCATTTCTGGTGGCATGGGCACACCCATCAAAAGCCTTGAAGCCTCAGTGCAGTCTCAGGTTTCCCTTGGAAGCTGAGCTATCCGGCCCATTCCTGATCAAAGCAGTTGAGCAAAAGAAAGCCCCTCTTTTTACTGGATGCTGCAAAAACAACAGAATGGGAGCCAGTTGCAAGTAACCTCAAAGCCAGGCCATCTTCACTCCTCTCTGATTGCAAAAGGGTGTCTGTCCTAATGTGCCCAGACTGAATGTTGTCAGTATATATGAGGAGGCAGGTTATGCGTATGCATTTTTTCTTTCCTGCCTTATGAGTGCTTTTAAGCTTTTAGTTCCAGGTTATATTCAGAAAATACTTCCCAGGGTAATGATATGACACTGCCTAGGAAATATTTCTTGGGTATAATTCCCTTCCCAACTACTCATATGCTACAGAGAAATGTTATCATTGTTCCTTGTCCATTGTATTAATTGTTAATGCTTTTGTGATTGGTTGAGGATTTTGCTACAGATGAGGCATAGGACCATCAGCCCTGAAAAACACACAGGTCAGGCATTAAAGAGGCATGGGTTTTAAGCTCTTTAAAAATATTTTCCAATAGCCATAACTTGACTAGCCCTTCTGTGATATGCTGCTGTTCTAAAGTGAGAGCTGTTGAATATTCACTGGTGCCCGGAGTTTTGCTCTCCCATCTAGGTTCAGTTGAAGGTAGATTGTTTCTGAGACTGTTCTGAAGCATGTCTAGTACATCATAAATGATACCAAGATGGGCCCTGCAGTCTGGAGCTGTTAGCTCCATCCCGGATATTCCCCAGTTGCCCTCTGCTGCTGATGGAGATGGGAATGAAATTAAGTGGTCTGAAAAACTTGAGTCAGTCACATTTCTCAGCTCGGGGGGTCATTTACCAGTTCATTGTAGAAGAAATAATCAGGTAAGTAGAAGTTCATTTCCAGAGAAGGTAAACCCCACTTACCATCTCTGCATGATTTCAGTGGGAATTGATTATCACTAATCCCCAACTGGGCTAAAAGAAATGTAAAGTTTGACCTTTTTAAAAAGAGAAACAAAGAAAATCTCAACACATTTAAAGGAATGGTAGAAGAGCTGAAGGTGTCTCTGGGCTCTGAAATGAAATGTCTCCATTGTAGATGAGTCTCTTCTCACTAAAATTCCAATGTGGGCCTGAAAGAAATGTTCCTTTAAGACAAGAGGAAGCCCCTTCAGAAATGATAAAGGAGCATGTTCATGTACCTGCACCTGGGAGCTGTGTGGGCATGTGCAAGCTTCTCCATTCACACGGGCTGCTTGGACAAAACCAGCATGCCTTGCTGCACATTATACTCATGTCTATTTCCACTGCTGAAAGTAGACATGAATTGTGAATGGGAAGCCTTTTACACTTGTCATTCAGCAAAATTCTTTCTGGTAACGTTTCACCAGAAACTTTAGAGGCAGGGACTCTGGAACTCTATTGACAAATAACAAAGTCTGCCCCTCAAAACTTGTTTATGAACTGGAAAAGACCCTAGGACCCCTAGATAATCTGTGTTCTGCTTGAGTAGGAAAAATCCTGTTTTATTTTTCTTTTGTAAAATCAGCGGAAGAGAAGAAAATATGCACTCTTCTCCTTTGCCATCTCTTGGTACCCATTGGTCTGAACACTGGGGTTGGTCTCCTTTCTTAGTACTTGATTGTGTTTGGAAACAAAGGGCTTGGGGTGGAGGGGTGGGGAATATTGGAAATAATGAGGGAAATTTTTTCTTTCCCAGAATTAAATGAGATATATTAGTATTGTTGACCTTCTTGGTGTCCTCCATTTACCTTAGATGGTAATACCTTCCTGCCTGAAGTGGGACCAGTCCAACCCAGAATAGTGCAGGCTTGATTATGGAGGAATCCAAGGTCGTTTTAGGTAGAAAAAGGGATGCTTAGATACCCACCACCTGTGACCATGACATTTTTGATGATTGGGTTTACCATTTGACTTTAATCCACACTTCTGATCTCCTTCCCCATTTGAATGAGTTCAACAGACTTTCCAAGAGCTGAAGAACACGAAAAGGTGCCCTTGACTCTTCCTTGCCTTCCTCTCTTCCCTCCTAGAGTAACTCTCACTTCTAACAGGTACCCAGAGCCTGCAGGCCGAGTCCTCCCTGTGTGGGCTCCGTCCACACAGCTGTCTCTTAGGGGAATACGACTGCTTCTTGTTATTTTTACCTATACATTTGTGACCTCAACATTCTTGGAACTGAGGAGAGAAACTGAAAGAGCATGATTTCAGGTGGAACTTAATGCATTGATATCCTGAAACCTCTTCTGTTGGAAGTTGAGTACCTATGATTAGGTACTAAAGTTTCCTGGAGGCAGATGACATCTATACTGCTCTACGGCACCCAGCCTGCCCTCTCAGCTCCTGATTGTCTGTGTGTGTAAGGGTGAGTGCAGTAAATGGCATTATAAAGTGTCACCACCTCCCCTCTATCCCTTTTCTTTCTTAAAGGAAAAGAACAACAAGGAGGCTCAGACCTCTGGGTACCAAGGAAACTAACACCTTCCCAAATAAGTGATCACTTAAACCCAGCCCAGACTGCTCTGAGGGATGTTCACTGGACTCCACCATGAGGCAGGCCTGGCAACAAATGTGAGCTTCCCTGAGAGCTTTTGGTTGGTTCAGCTCTTTGTTCGCTAGACTCTTAAGTACTGACTGCTTTGACTTTTGTGATTATGTTTTGGTGATGTATAGTCAATGTACCAATATGTTCACAACCTAGAATCATGGTAATATAGTGTGTTTTGGTTTTTTTAACTGTTCAGAAAAAAGTAACTTAAATTACAAATATAAGATTAAAGTAAATTTTCCAAGTGTCTTGTCTCTTTGCCCCAACACCAGTAGGACAGTGAGTTTTTAATATACAAATTGAAGGAATGCACAAATAACCTTTTAAGATAATCTGACATGAGAAAACAACACCGAGAGAAGTCAGGGCCCATGGTATGAATAAATATGGGGCCCCGAAATACAGTTAATGTTCCATGTTGAATTAAATTGAAGTCATTCTAATGTCTAATTTCGGAACTGGTCCCCATAGCCTCAGCCTACCACAACCCTACCTAACCCCAGAACTGTTAAGTTCTCTGTCTTTTGAGAGGGTAAGAATACTTGTAGACAGATGAGTTCACACTTGGAAGCGGTTTCTAGAGAGACTTCAACAAACCATAAAAATGGAGGGAGCATTGACCATCTGGAGGAAACCCACCTGCCTTCTTCCTTAAACCAAACCTGGGGAGATGGGTGCAAGGGTTGTACATCATCTCCCTCTTCTCCTCCCCTCCTAGACTCACAAGCAGGACCCTTGTCAAAACAAACCCATCCTTGTTTTACATCTGTGGGCTCTTAGTAGGAGTACCCTCCCTGCGTGACCAGGCTCCCTGGCCTGTCAGCTCTGTGGTCTCGGTGCCTGTGTACCTGGACCAACACTGGTCATGAGAGTAGTCTCAGACTGAGGCAGCAGGGCCCTAGTGCAGAGAGCTATTCCTGCTGGGACTGGTGGCATAGCAGAGTATCAGGCGCACCCAGCATTTTGTAGATGGGGAAAATTCATGGGGAAAGGGGGTCCCCATACTGCCCAAGACCATGCCAGATCTTCCTAACAACTAAAGAGGGAGTGGTTAGCAGTGACTACTCAGAC